GAGATGGAGGAGGGCTTTGTGGATTGGTGTTGGGACATATGGGTTAATGTTGGACTTGTGGGCTTGGGCAGCACTGGGTTGGGATGTTTTCTTGATGCTCACTTAACTTCTATATAAAACTCTCTCTTATACATGAGTTTCTGTGGATTTGCTTCCCTAAATTACCCAGACTACTACACGACGGAAGGCCACTGTGGGAGGACTAATTTGGAGAGAGACCTCCGCTGTCGAGATCAGCAGTGGCAACCATATTAACGAATACATGGAAGGCTGCTTCGTGAGTTGATCATCTTTCCCTGCACGCGTCACAGGAAGCTGCCTGGTTCCCACACCTGTGTGGTGCCATCCACCACGTTGCCTGGATCATCTACTACCTGCTCTGTAAGGCCCGGCTGAGTCCAGAAAGCCTGCCCCTGAGCGTCACCCTCTGCAGGAACATCCCTCTCTGCTGTCACCTGACCACACCTGCTCCCCACTTTCTCTTGGGAAGAAAGAGAGCTCCCTAAAACCCACCCGAACTCACTGCCATTGGGCTGATTCCAACTCCCAACGATCCCACAGGACAAGGTAGAACTGGCCCCTGAAGGTTCCCAGGGCTCCTATCTTTCTCCCAAGGATCCGAGTGTAGCCCACCATGTCACCAGGCCTCCCTCAGATGTCTCCTGGGTGGTACAAACCAACCGTCCTCGCTCAACCGCTACCCCGAAGGTTGATGGTTTGAGCCCACCCAGCAAGGTCGAGGGGGAAAAGGCCTGGAGAGCCAAGATGAGGCCAAGACAACCTTACAGAGCCGTTCTACTCTGTAGCCAAGGGGGTCGCCACAGGTCGGAACTGACTCACAGCTACTTCCACACCACTGCCACCGCTGGGGACAGAGCGAGCGGGGACATGACGAGGGGGCTCTGTGGAGAGCGAGCCTGAGAGCGACTCTTCAGGCACTGAGGCATCCAGTCGTCTCACGAAGGAATGCGGGCGGGGTCACGGAGCCCTGGTGGCATGGTGATCAGCAGGCTGGGCCCTCCAGCCGCTCCCAGGAGAAAGGTGAGACCTCCACTTCCTGTGGAGAGTTATAGACCCAGAAATCCTGAGGGGCGCTGCTCCCCCGTCCTGTCGGAACCAGCCCCATGACGCCGAGCATGAGGGTCATCGTTTTACTCTTGAATCTTTAAATCAATTCTGATTCACAGGGTGACCCTAAGGACTGATTATCACTGCACCCTGGGATGCCCAAGGCTGGAATCCGTGTGGACACCGATGCCCACATCGTCCTCTCTCAAAGAAGGCTGTGGATGAGAACCAACGCCCGTTCAGAGAGCGGGTGAGCGTGAGCGCTTCACAGCTGTGAAAACTCCCAGCGGGCCATTGTCACCCCAGTGAAACTGGAGCTGTGGTGGCCGGTGGAGCAGCCCTGAAGCTGTAGAACTCATGAAACAAACGCCGAGCAGTAACATCACACAGAATTCCTTCTCGGATGAGAGAGATGTCATGTTGTCCAGCCCCACCAGCCCTTTCCCTATTATACCCCGACCCCCATCCCCACCTTCTGGAAGAAGACCAGAGCTACTTTTCTCCTCGCAGGGAACAGGGGCAGGACCGGCTCCCACTGTGGTCAGCGCAAGGGAAATGTCCCTGTCTGAGGCTGCCTTCCTCCTCACTCCAATTCTTAACACTGCTGCTCAGAAATGGGTTCTTTGGCTTCAAAAACATTACAAAAGAAACCTCAGGTTTCTCGTTTGAAAGACGGTTACGTCAAATGGTCGGACATAATTAACTTATTTCTAAAGTTCATCTTATTGGGGGTTCTTACATCTCTTATAAACAATCCATATATCAATTGTATCAGCATAGTTGTACATATGTTGACATCATTATTTTCTAGACATTGACTTTCCATTGAGCCTGACAGAATTCATTTTAATTTTAATTAGTATAATAATTTGTCTTTCGCTTCCCGTACACCCTAGACAATATAGCTTCCTTCAAAGGAGCCTGTGGTTCTTTAGTTTAAATCAGAATCGCCTCTAATCACTAATCGCATGTCTGCTCCAGGTGTCCATCCTCCTGCCCCCGGAGGACCGTGCTCAGCCTGTTCACAAAAAGGACCCTGGAGGAACTAAAGCTGGCCAGTCTCAAGTTGGTGTTATTTTCCCATGTCAGGGGCAGACTGAAAACCTATTCTTTCTAAAGACAAAATGGGTGCTTAAGCTAATGTGAAGAAAGCTGATGGCACCCGGCTATGTCAAGATATATCATCTGGGGTCTTAAAGGCTTACAGTTAAACAACCGGCCATCTAGCAGGGAAGCAACAAAGCGCACATGGAAGAAGCACACCAGCCTGTGTGATCACAAGGTGTCGACGGGATCGGGTATCAGAAGACCCAAAACAAACAAGCATATTGATGTGAATGAGA